ATTGTTCTATGAAAACGTCTTGTTTTTTAACTTTTACAACTTGTATTCTAAGAAACCGCTCCCTGAGGTCTGTAAGTGCGGTTGATAAGAACAGAGTTCCTTTAAGGAATTTCCAGTCGGGGGATGTTGGGGGTTGGGGAGAGAAGGGATGCGCTTAAAACTTCCGCGGGGGGGGGGGGGGGGAGGAATAAAAAAAGTATTTGAAACTCAATGGGGGGGGGGCTGGGGGCGTGGACACTGTTTAAAGAATATTTGTGAATACAAAATCAAATTTGTATTACTTTTTTCGGGACGGGAGGCGTTGGGCGCCCCCCCCCCCCGCCCTACTCTCAACGGAGGAAGATGCATAACAGAAATACTGAATAATCGAGCAGAGCTGGTTCTACACTACATCAAATCTTTTTAAATACGTGTGTGCTATAACAAGGTGCTATGAATTGTTGAAATAGCAATATCTTACCTGAAAAGTTGTTGCTGATAAATGGATAGCTGGTTGCTTCAGTTATTTTTTTTTTCTAAATATGACATGTACAATCCTATCATTCTTAACAGCTACAACTGCATCCTTTTAAAAGTAAAACTATGATCAACTTACATGCAGACAGCACGTTACGTTACCTGTGTTTAACATTGTTAAAGGGCTCGTAATGGAGCGAACAGGTAATTTTAACAAGGTTCATTCAGATAATTTTAATTTGTTTCATTCAGATAAGCTCAGCAGGGTTTATTCAGATAATTTTCTATGGTTGATGGAGGATGGGTTGTGGGGGACTTGAAATATATATGTGGAGGTAGTTGAAGTGTTTTGTTAGATATATTTTTCTTCGGTTTAGCCTAGGTGGGGGGGGGGGGGAGAATAGAGCGCGGTAGCCAAGATGTTCAGGTGGGGGGGGGGGGTGCGGGGGGTTGGCAAGGTCACTCACACCAACATGGAGAGAAGACTCAAATATACACAAGTTGGTTAGATAGCATTGCCGATAGAATTTCATAACACCACAACTAAACGTTGAGTTAATACAACGCTGGGGTTGTCCTTCAACCCGTCTAGTATGATCGTGGTTTTCAAATCGTTTATGTCATGCCAACCAGGATGGCTCTATTTGACATTTCACACTAGTAAAACCTTGAAGAAACATTAAAGAAATTAAAAAAAAAACACATCAACCTCCCTGAGCCGCTGGATTCGTGTGAGCTAAAAAAAATTATGGGCTGGATTTAAGACGGGAAAAAATTAAGGATTGCAAGTCCAAGGCCAACTATTTTTTTTTTGGCTTTACATAGCGTTAATCTTGTCTAGTTAACACATAAAATGCTTTGTTTACAAATAAACGACGCTCAGAAATTCGCGTATCTGTATACATAAACGGATGCTCCTTCAAGACAGACTCGGGATGCGGTGTACTTTTTTCCCCACCGTGCATTTTTAAACATGTTTCTTTATTCCTACGTCTGGGTCACCATAAACTGTAAGGTGATAAAAATAGTTTAGCCCGTAAACGGTGTTAAATAACTTTTTAGATATTTGCATTTTAAATATGTACAATTTTACTTGAAGCTTATGGAAAAAAAATAGGATTGCATGTGTTAAATAAAATATAAAATTATCCTATCAGTCATTAACATTTATAGGGTACTTTTAGCAGACATAGTGTAAACAGGGATGGGTGCCAATAAATAAAAAAAACTTGTTATTTATAATATTTCAAAATATTTAATTGAAATGTTAATTATAATGTAAATTTTAAATATAACACATTATGATGCAATTTAGGTATTAAGAGTGCCAATTAGACTATATATACAATAGAAGATATTTGTTCAGTCTGAAAACTTAGGTTGGTATTTTCAATTTAAATTATAAAGACATTATTACCATAAGGAAAAATTTAGTGAAAAATCACAATGAAATAATGAATAACAATAATTTAGCAAAGTTTATAACCAAAATCACAAGCCATGAATTTAAAAAAATGTGATTGTAGATAAGGTAATATAGAAATTATTAAAACTAATATTGTGCGTACATCATTAATTTTTTTTAAATCGGTAAAACGGTATAAATTTAAAATAAACGACTTAGTAAAGAAAACGCTTGAATAAAATAATTGGAAAAATACTTTAGTGGAAGCAGTCAGCTGTGAAAATATTTAGTAGTTTCGGTCAGGAAAAATAACGTGTTTAATAGTAGTTGTTAAGTGTTGAAAATAAAAGTCGGACAGAGGTAGAAGTAAGGCCAAGCAAAAAAACACATGAGTTTATGCTTTCATTATTTACGTTGGAACTAAACAAACCGGTTTTATATTTTAATGAAATACTAGTGTTAAAAAAGACATATAATTCTGTAAAAATATAAATATAATACAAACACACACACAGACACACACACACACACACACACACACATATATATATATATATATATATATATATATATATATATATATATATATATATATATATATATATATATATATATCACTTTAGCCCTGAAGAAACTCAAAAGTGCTTTTAAAAAGATGCCCCGGCAATTATTAATTATTAGTGTTGAAGAGGATCGAGATTTATCTGCCAGTGGGTTTGAACTCGAGACTTTGTTCGAATTTATCAAACATGAGCTTTTTGCCGACTCGACCACGCCTCCAACACAATTAAGCGTTACATGTCAACTGCTTATGCGCCATTGAGGCCATTGACTCCGATTTCAGCCTGCTTTTCTGTTTGGATTTGCTTCCATAGCCTTTGTCCAACCAAGAACAAACTACAAGGCAGCAGTTGTTTAAATTTGGAGTTGTCTCTCCTAGAAGAGTGGCTGTCCCCAGCTAACGAGCCTCTTCTGCCCGAGGATTCGAACTCGAGACTTTTCGGATTAGCAACCATGAGCTTTACCGACTCGACCACGCCGACCCCTATGACAACGAAGAGGCTAACTTATGGCTTAACATTTTTAGGGTAGAAGGACTTACTGCATTAAGCTAATTATTCAAAAATATCAAAAAGATAAACATCATTTAAGAAAAGCCATACTTGCATAGCAGAGTACACTAATGCAGAGGCGTCACGAGGCGGTGGCGGAGTTTCTTACCGGCATCTCTTCGGGGGGGGAGGGGGGGTAGCTCCGTTCCCCCCCCCCCCCCCCCCCCGAATAAGATGATGTTTATATAGTAAACATATACTTTTACTAGTGTCCGCCCCCCCGGAAAATCTTTACCGCCCTCCCCCACCCCCCCCCCCCCCCCCCCGAAGATATCAAGTGCCCCCCCTCCCCCCCCCCCCGGAGAAAAAAGTCTGGAAGAAACACTGAGAACAAAACGTAGCTACCAAACTATGTCTTTGTGAAAGTTACAACCAACAGACAACCGACCAGGCTCAACAAATCACTCGAAGTTTTTTGAACAAAGAAATTTGCATGGCAACATTTTTACGATAATAGGCGCAGATGTTGCACGCTGCGTACACAAAACGTTTCCAGAGACGCATTTACCGCATGTACCAACAAACCACGATGCCAAACTCATATATTCAACGTGACACGCAAAAACAAAAGTACACTCTTAAAATAGAAACACTTGTACAAACACAGACATACGCATAAACACACACATACTTGTACTTCAACCTCCCCACTCAAACAAACACGATGATTTATTATAATTATATATATATATATATATATATATATATATATATATATATATATGGATATATATATGGATATATATATATGTATATATATATATATATATATATATATATATATATATATATATATATATATATATATATAATTATATATATATATATATATATACAATATACATATACATAATGTGAAATTGTACTAAAAAAATCGTGTTTACAGACATCACAGACACAATAGCACTACAATTTTGTTTCCGTTCTGGAGAGATGTAAAATGTAAAAGTTTGTCAAAATTTCTAATAAGATAACATATGTATGTTTGTTTTGGGAGGCATTTTTGGAGTAAAAAAAAAACTCGACTTGATGGAAACTGTGTAATGTTTTTGATCACCTATTTGTTGTACTAAAATCTAAAATAATCTCAAAAAATAATTATTCATAATTTAATATTTTTTTCTACGTATCATTTTAATTGACGTAATTGCCAAAAAACGATTATATAACTACCATTGTTTGATTTATTGTTGTGGTAGGTAAAAGCAGATATTTTAAATAACATACTTTATCTTATCTTATTCGATACAATGAACTTCTGTTTGCTAATTATCCTTTTTAATCAATTAATATTTAGAAGACGTTTCTTAAAGCCCTCTATGTTTACGTTTGCATTTAACTGTGTGTTTATATTCGCGTTAATGATTGCATTATTTTTTGCGTCATTGTATGCGTTTATGTTTTGCGCTTTTATTTATGTTTGCGTATATGTCTGTATTTGTTTCCTTTTTAGGTGTAGGTTTATGCTAGAGTTTTTTTTTTGCCTTTATGTGCGTGTTTATATTTACGTTTGTGTTTATATTTTCACAAATGTCCATATTTACACTGATACTTTAAATTGAAAATATTATAAATTCCCAAACTCGGGGAACATACGGTATATATGATGCTTACTGAGCTAATACAAATAACTTTAACTTCGAATGCCAGTGCAAGGCCTGGCCTGGCCGGAACGCTAGTACTCTGTATACGAGAAAGTAATAATGTCCAGGGGAGATCACTCACGATTTACATTTTTTAAAAATACTGCCGCCTGTGTATTTTTTTTTTCAACAGAAAATGAAACTAAATTAAACAATCTTTGAAATAAACTAGCTATTTACCAACCATTAACAGATTCTAAGAACCATTGAAAATAAAATTAGCACACAGACGCAGACACGCACTGGCATTCACATTATTTAAATCTCCCACAGTCGCTGGCCAGCATTCTTTCTGCCCTCGACTCTCTCCCACCCCCCCCCCTCTTTCTTTTGACGGTTGACTCGTGGTTTATTACCTTACAGGTAAGCGCCTTCCTTCAAATTTCACGTGCAGATTTTTCCCTCTTTCCTTAAACCCATTCGGCGAAATCCACAGCGTGAGCCCAGTTTTTCTGAATGAAAAATAAAATCTTTAGCGTTTGTTAAAATAGTATATTTATATTTATTCAAGAGGAATTATTAAAAGCAAGTTTATATCCTAAGTAACGATGGTAAGGTATTAACAATTTACATTTTAATTTTGTTGACCTTCTTCTTCAATAAAAAAGAAATAAACATTTTCAAATAATTATAAGTGCTAAAAACTCATTTGATACCAATAAATAATTAATCGCTGTAGCACTTTGCATCTAGCACTTTGTGTCTAGCACACCTATCGCTGAGTTAAAGATTTAGCGTTGTTTATAGAAAACATACTATTAATACTCTGTAAACAAAAAACATACAAATCAACTATGAAAACCCCATCGTATTATTAAATTTTTCTTTGATTTTCCAGCCACATAAATATGGATTACTGATGTTGTTTATATTTAACTTCTCATTTGGTAAGACTTTATGTTTATTATTGTTTTAAGCTTTTCTTTTAAACTCTTCACTATCCTTTTATATTTGGATACCGTTTAGATTGAGTGCAGATTTTTTTACTGTCGATTTATTTTTGAAAACTATTATTACGTTTTCCTTGAATATTTGAAGATATATATTTTTATTGCCAAAAGAAACATAAAAAAATAGTTCCACTTTCGATCTGATGAGTCATAGGCTGGCAAAGTAGAGTAAATCAGTTTCGTGACCGTTGCATATGAGGTAATGGTGTGGTTAGCATGAAGCCTAGCTACTTTTACTTTCTCTAGCTTGAGTCAGGTAAATTCAGAAACATGTGAACTATGGGACGTCTAATCCTACTTTGAATCTAAGATTCGAACTTGAGACCTTTGGGTAAGCTTTCGAGCTTGCTAGCGCTGGCCACGTCTTTCAAAAAATGAACTTATAAAAAATCAAAGTGTTGAAGGAGAATAATCTAAAATAATTGTTACAAGCATGGGTTATAGCATCATGCGTCGATGTGCAATAAAAGACGATACAAATTTTGTCTTAGATCTTCTAGCTACACGTCAAGACATATTAGTTTGTCCAGCAAACGAGTGATCCTAGTACCGGCCTTATAAGCTGATACATTTCATAAGATCAATAAAAACATACAAATCGTGAACTACTACCTAAATATTATTATTCGACTACAATTATAATAGCCGGCAGTAGACTGAAACTAATAGACCCGAAGTTTATTTAAGAAGGGATGTGAATTTCTGACAGTAAATATTTGGTTACGTATATGTCTGTGTGGTGACAGCACAAACAAAACCAGGAACAAATTATATTAAGACAAAATATATAACTTGTATAAAATAGTATTTTAAAGAACATAACTATATTTGTATATTGTATATTATATATATATATATATATATATATATATATATATATATATATATATATATGTATATGTATATATATATATATATATATATATATATATATATATATATATATATATATATATATATATATATATATATGTATATATGTATGTATATATATATACATATATATATACATTTATGTGTGTGTGTGTGTGTTTGAGTATTTAATTGCAAAGATATATTAAAAATTCAGGAAAAATAAACGTGCATACTTTATTTTAAACATAATGTACAGATATGTGCAATGGCTTTATGTAAATATCTATATATCTATATATATATATACTAATATTTTTTTAGAGAAATAATTTGTCTGCATGGTTTATTTTTGTCTAACCTAAGGCCACAACAGTGATGACGTGAAGAAATGTCCAGATCGAATACGATGTGAGATCTACATCAATATTTCATTAACAGGAGGCTCGCACTGTCTGCTTGTCAATGATGAAAAAGCTGTTGAATTTATTGATGACAACTATACTCCTCCTGAAATTTCAGTCTACGATAGTTATAAAAAAGTTATGGAAGTTAACTTCACAAACAACAAGACACGGCCCGGCATTATAGTCACTCTGAAATCACCTGATTATACGCAGAATATAACTGGTACCTGGTGTATCAAAAATGACAAAACCCAAGAGCTCATTCACCTATTTCAACTTAAAATTATGAGTAATGATTCATTTTAACATTATTTTTATTTAAAAACATGTAGGCCTATTCACTCTTAAAAAATGAGTTAGTAAATTTTACTTATAAAATGTAAATAATTATTATCAAAATACTGTTTTTCCAGAACGATTTGAGTACAGAATAATGCTAATCGAAAAGGAAATACAAAATTTATCAGACTTTTTAGGTAATTGCTTGTCACATATATTACATTCGAGTAATGTTAGATTTTCAAAAGTCGTAAGTAGTTTAATTTAGTTAAATACTGGTATCCATAATATATAAATTAATGTTTTTCAACTACACATTCAGTTAAGATTTTTAACTTTCGATCAATTAACGGCAGTAAAAGTTTCTTTTAAACTGTTATTAAGTTAATTGTTAAACATGTTAAAATAAAGTTTAACTCTTATAAGTTAAAACAAAGGACATTTCTATATATATTTATATATATATATATATATATATATATATATATATATATATATATATATATATATATATATATATATATGTATATACAATTATAAATCGAACATCGTTTAAATAAAATAAAGACAAGCTAAACATAATTAAAATAAAAAAAACTTACATTGTATTTATTTTACTTTCCCCAGTAAGTCTTTTCGATTCTCCTGTGTTGGCGCTAAGGAAGAAGAAAAAATGGATGGGTAAGCTTCCGTTTTTAAATTGCATATACAAATATGTTTGAAAATGTTTTTTTTTTTAATTAAGACAACACCTCATTAAGTAAAGAGTTAAAATGTTTGTTTTAGATTTGTTGTTATTATTATATTTTAAAATATTATTTACTGATTTTAATCAGTTATCTATTTTACAGTACGTTTAGAGAAATTGAAGAGCAGTCTTAACAAAAGTAAGGAGAAAACACACACAATTTCTTGGTCGCCGGAGGTGCGTTAATTTGTTTCTCTTTTTATTTTAGTTATAAATTAAAAAAAAAAAAACAACATTTAATTCATCTCAGATTTGTAACGCCAAAAAGATATGAAGATAATGCTTTGTTTTTTTTTTTTTTTTTTTTTTTTTTTTTTAATTTTAGTCTATCAATTAATTTAATTAAACCAAAGTTAAGTTTTTAAATATTATATTTGGCGCAATTTTATTAGTTCTAACGATAGTTTCATAATGACGTTTCTACTGTGATGCAGTTTTAACGTTGCATAAACTACTGTATGATATACTTGATTCATTCTAATTACCAATCATTTATTAATGTTATTACCCTACAGTAGTAGGGCTTGAAAAATAGAGTTTCAGACTCATTATTATGCTCCTCTCCACGGAAATCTTTAGTTTTTTTTTTTTTTTTTTTTTTTTTTTTTTTTTTTTTTTTTTTTTTTATACATACATGGCATTGCATACACTATTCCGAGATCATATTTTAAACATGTCATACATTTTTTTATTTTTCTTTTTCAAGACGTCTAAGTTTGCTATAATTAAAACAATGTACCTTCGAAGCGTATTATTTGGGTGGCGGGTGGTGGCTTTCCGTGTGAGCCTTTATACTTTCTAAAGGGAGGCATAGGTTACAAGAGTGACAGGAGTACATCGTTACTTCAGGATGGTTTTTTATATAGTGCCTGTATATGTCTAGGTACCAAGTCCAATCAGTGTGCGGAATCCCGTCAATACATTTGTCACAAAGTAAGAAGTCCCCGTGTTCATGGCGTTCGTGTATTTTAGCTTCCTCAACTGATTTGCATCGCTGGGTGCAAAATCTGCCCTTTTTGTCGTCGAATACTGATTTTGTAGTTTTTTGATTTTTTGCTGTTTGTTTTGTGTCTGTGGGGCTGTCTTCTTTTTTTCCTTTTTGGACTTGTATATTCGGGCATATCTGTATCTGTGCTGGGCTTGTTATGTTCGAGAGTTGGATTCAAAGTAAACGTAAAATTGACTGGGTAGAGCGAGGATGGTAGAGGAGAGTTCGATTTGAGAGTTGTTGATGCAGATGGTTTAACGGCTGGTGTTTTCGCTGTGATCGTACTAGGGGTTATTGGCTTGCTTGGCGGTTTGGCTGGACTAGTTGGTTTCCTGAATTGAGTTTTGGGTGAGATCGGTGCAGTCGTAGTGGGGGTGGCTTGCATGTTCGTAGATTTAGGAGGTCCTGTTGGTTGTTGCTGCACAGGGATATTTGTTGAAGGGTGCTGAGTTGAGATCTGCGCAGTCGCAATTGGGGTGACTTGTGGGTTTACCGGCGTAGGAGGTTCTGTTGATGGCAGCTGTGCAGGTGTAGGAGGTTCTGTTGATGGCAGCTGTGCAGGTGTAGGAGGTTCTGTTGATGGCAGCTGTGCAGGTGTAGGAGGTTCTGTTGATGGCAGCTGTGTAGGTGTAGGAGGTTCTGTTGATGGCAGCTGTGCAGGTGTAGGAGGTTCTGTTGATGGCAGCTGTGCAGGTGTAGCTGGATCCTGTGATGCTGTTAGGTGTGCATTTGATGCTGGGCATTGATTGGTCCAGTGCGAGGTTGCAGAGCAGAACTGGCAGGCTTGTTTCCTTCCATTGCTTGCTACTAGGATGTTGAGGGATTTGTTTTTGTAATTAATTTGAATGTAATGAGGGATGTTTGTTGGGTTGTCAGTGTGTATGGAGAAGCTGCGGTTACTGGTGTGAGGAATTGTGGTTATGATTGGTTATTTGTTGCTGTAAGGCTGTAGTGCTTGTATGAGTGTGAGATCGTTGAGTGTGGGGGGTACCCACCTAAGGGTTCCGTTGATTCTATCTTTTTCGTGTAGTGTTAAGTGTAGCGTGTAAGGGCCGTGTATTTTGTGTGTATTGTGCATCGTGGTGACGTCGAATGCTGTAGAGGAGAAGAACCAAGTATCTGCTCTGCCGTAGTTGAGGAGCAGGATTTGTTCATTACTTATGCGTTGTCGTAAGACATGTCCGCGTAGGTTGGGGTGTCCTTTTGAGGAGATTCGAACTTGGATAGTTGGTGTGTCGACTGGGTACAGTTCTGGGCAATCTTCATCGGGTAGATTCAGGTACGTAGTTGAAGTTGCTGAAAAGGGTTGGGCCCAGGATTTCATTAAGCCACCCGAACCGTAGTCCGGGTGGCTCCTCCCCAAGTCTCTCGACCCAGGGGGAACATCCAAGGGCGCAAACCCTTTGTTGACGTTGACGATATTTGCGTAAGTCATTCTGTTTGAGGATGACACCATCGGAAATCTTTAGTAAAAGGCGAAAGATTTACGCGTTGTGAAGTGAAACCAGATGCTTTGTTTTAAATACCAGTTTAAATAATAGTACAGTTCATTAACAATAACACACATGTGTTTGTCCGTTTAAAAATACTTTTAGTTGCGAAATGTTTATTTGGCTATCATAAATGTATTACCATTCGCCTTCCATCCTTTTTGTATATCAATATAAAATACACCATTACATGTTAATATTAGTTGTATCTATATATAACAAAAAAACATCTGCAATTAGATCTAGATTGCTTTTGTCAGATTCACTTTAATTTAAATTAAAATTGTTTTATTACATCTATAAGTACATTAGCACAATATGTTTCCCTTATGGTTAAAATAAACCGGGAGTGATCTCCCCTAAACTTTCTAGAATATTCTAAAATGAAACAAAAGGGGATGGCAACTCGGGATATAGACATGATTTTTAATCCATTTTAAATAATACAACTTTTTAAAAAAAGAATAAAATCTCGTAGAAAATTGCACAACAAGTGAACGCCAAATAAAATGTGCATAATAGTGCAAAATATTATTATCACTTTATAAATTCACATGCATTTTTTGAGAAATGGGCAATAGAGAAATTTACTACTTCCGGTAAACAGAAGTTACTCAAAATTTGATATTAGGCAGAGAATTATATCTTTCACTTACAAGTTTAATTTCATTTATCTATCTGAAATAGTACTCAACTTATAGGCTTTTGAAAAAATTGAAAGTATAAAAAATCCACGTCCATTTATCGGAAATCACTCAGAAGTAGAGACGGATCTACGATTTTAATATAATACTTATATATGAAATTTTATCAACTTAGCTGTAATGGAACTAAAGTTATCATGATTACACACACACACACAAATCCACACACCCACACACACAAACATACGGACAAGATTGCACAACTATGTTTATCCGACTCAGGGAGGTGTAACACGTCGATATTTGGAAAAATCTGGATTTTTTTTTTTGCACGAGAAAGTAAAACAAGTCAAATGTCCTGAATCAAATTATCGTTAAAAACACGAGTTATTTTTTTTAATCTGTAGTAATAAATATGGATTTTAAAATATCTATTTTGATTTTAGAATTAAAATAGTATGATGCTATGGAATCACGTTTACTACTTAGCCAATTGGATGATGTGGGATAATTAAATACACACACATATCTATATATACACATATATATATATATATATATATATATATATATATATATATATATATATATATATATATATGTATGATTTTGTTATTTCATTTTACTAGGAACGGAAGAGTCAACGCTTATGAAGCAGGCAACAATTATCATCATTACAGTGAACAGGAGCCAGAACAGTCATTTCAAAATGTGATATCAGTTTAGAAATCAACATACAAAAAATTATAAAAATGGATAGACTTAAAATATGTTAAATGTAATTCAAATAAAATTATTTTTCTCCCTTTTTTTCTCTAATATCCAATTATTATACTTACAAGCACACTTTTTATAAAAAGTTCTTTTTGGTTGATGATTGATTGAGCATTGACTATAAATGGTTCAAATTTCTCTGAAATTACCTTAATAAATCTGCTAACATTCAAACAGGGTAAATGGAATATAGTCCTATATTTTTTTTAATGTTATGAAAATATATCGATACTAAAAATGTGTATATCTTAATGAGGTGACACCCTGTTACTATTTCCTTATTTAGACCACCTTCCATGAGTTATTATTTCATACCAATATTACTGGCTTATAGTTATTCTAAAAACAATTGATGATTGTTTGCAAGACTGCCTTAAAACTTGCAAAAACACCCCAGTATCCAGGGCTTAAAACAGTTTCTGGAACCGTAAACAATAGAGGTGACATTAACTTCAATTATATTCAGTGTTGTTATAATACTTCAACAGATACAGTACTTCTTTGTTACATTTAAACAGCCTACACGGATTGACTTGTCTCTAGCTCTGCTTATTGTTAACTATCTCACAGTTCTACACATTAACTTTACATCACGCATTACACAGTAAACACTCAAGAACGCAACATAATATACATAATATATACATAATACAGGGGACGTAACAATTAATAAAAAGACATAACAAATATGTCCTTAGTTTAAAACATAAAATATTCTATTATGAGTAAGTACTAGAATCGTATAAAATTTTTCCATCTTGAGTCAATTTATAATATCTGAACAATGAAGTTATCATAGACCAGCTATTAACAACTATAATGGTTGTGTTTGACACAGGATTTTCAACGTGAATGTGGAACTAAGGGCAACTTAATATTTTTTTATCGCCTCTAATGGTAGTCAAGGTAAAATTAGTAACGATTTAATGATATGTTAGAGGTCGGCGTGGTCGAGTCGGTATACAGAAAAGCCTCGAGTTCGAACCCTCGTGCAGATGAGGCTCGTTAGCTGGGGACAGCCACTCTTCTAAGAGAGAAAACTCCAAAATCAAACATCTGCTGCCTTGTAGTTTGTTCTTGGTTGGACAAAGGCTATGGAAGCAAATCCAAAAAGTAAAGCAGGCTGAAATCGGAGTCAATGGCCTTAATGGCGCATAACCAGTTGACACGTATCCTTAACTGATATGGAGGCGTGGTCGAGTCGGCAAAAGCTCATGGTTTATAAATTCGAAAAAGTCTCGAGTTCAAACCGTCTGGCAGATAGACTTGATCACTTCCAACATTAAAAATTAAGAACGAAGAAGAAGAAGAGAAATGAGATGTTTTTACAGTTACCACATTTTCTTCATCACAATGTGAATGTTCAAAACAACGCTCTACAAAGTAAAAGTGGTGAGTTTAGTTTTTTGTTTTATTTTTTATTACTTTTGGAACGGGATGGTCGGGTTATAGAGCGCTAGAATACGATCCCGTAAAGTGTTCGGATCTGGGAATCGAGTGTCTTAGTTCGTCACTGAACCAATGTTGCTACGATGAGTACCTGACTCACGTTAGAGAGAGTAAAGACGGCTAGGCGTAGTTCCAACAAAACTGTCCGCTTTATTCCGAGCTCAACATACATATACACTCAACCTCACGTGCCATATGGACCGTTAGGTCTAAAACGGGAAACTTACGTTTTATCTTCTCTTCTATTTTTAACGATCAACATTCAATAACGTTTAAAAAAAAATGCTACTAAAATCATAACAAAATAATAATAGATTTCAATTAATTTATGAAGCAAATGTATGTAAAATATTGTAAGTTATTGAAGTGTTTAAAGAAATAGAGTAAAAAATGTCTCAAGGGATCACTAAAGAAGCAAACATATATCAGCAAATAATCAATCACTCGTATTGCATACTAGGCTGGATCTGATTCTAGTTTTAAAACATTGTATGACAACTACGATAAATTCTACTACAAACGTGCTGTATCAGTTATAACTTCAAATACATGTGACGACCCAAATGTAGATAAACATCTTAATCTCGTAACATGGTGACTGCACAAAACATGTATTCAGAGTTTCTTCCATGCATCAAGTCTACCACATACACCCACCCCCCTCAGAACAAAATGGAATATAAAAGGAATTTATGAAATATATGGTTTAACCAGTGTCAGCCCCCGAGAAATTTTGATTGTCCACCCCCCCCCCCCCCGCCCATCTTTGTCCCTCCCTCCGGTAATTTCATGTGCTCTCATGGAGAAAAATGACTGGAAAAAACACTGCATGCAAAGTGTCGTTAAACAGTCGTTATTTATATAAGATAATTTTCTCCGGTGAAAGGGGTGGGTGTTGGTACTTAACATTACGGAATGGGAAGTCTGGAAGAAACACTGTTTTTGACAGAGGCCAGTGCAGGGTCTTGCCGATACGGCTAGTTTTAAATAACAAAACAATATTAAATGTGCGTTTCATATCACGATGACAACGCACATGTTCATATACACTCTTTTTTAAACTTTTGCTTTAGGCTATACAAGACCTAGACCATGATGGTGGCTATTCTTCTTTTCTTTGCTATCTTCTTGCACCGTTCAAGCGCAACACAGACTGGAGATGACAGTACTTCTTACGGCCAGGCTAAGAGATCACCCGGTCCTTTCGATACACAGCGAGTAGGTGTTTGAGTGGTATAATTTTTGGAACTATTTAGGGCACTATTATTAACATAGAAATGCAATTTGTGCCATAATTTAGGCGACCAAACCTACAGAGCTGTAGCTACCGAAAGCTTCGCAGGGGCTTTATAGGAACAGGTCAAGCCATCAAGCTTGTTTGTTGACTGGCCAGCCCACATGCTGTCCTTATATCAGTAGATATATTAGAAAATTTTGGGGGAAATCACTCTCGTTTTATTTATCTTTGAACACATTTATAGTGTGAATGAAAATTGAAACTTTTATCGAGTGAAGAGAAATAATCTTAATATTTTGATCAATAAGAAAAAAATCTAATTCATTACTGACATCCTCGCATTTTTTTCGTGAACAAGCACATATCACTTTTCTAAATAATTGTTTCACAAATGAGAACGCAATAATTTTTGTCCATCAATCATCAACAACAAAAAACTATTTGAGTACTACATGATTTTTAAAAGCAAAAGAGGCCTTCAGTGAAAACCAGAGTTTCCTTCTTGCATCTCAAAGGGGGGGGGATCTACCGCCCCTCCCCTACCCCATCGCCCCAAACAAAATACAATGTACAAAAAAAATACACATTTACCAGTGTCTGCCACCCCAACCTTCGCAAAATTTATTTCGCCCCCTGAAAATATCATATCCCCCCCCCCCATTCATCCCGGAGATACAAGTAAGAAAGAAACACTGGTGAAAAAAATGTCCAAGCTAGAGGACCGTGTATTGAAAATAAAAACGCCACTTATACGATTTCTTTTCTTCACATACACTGTCTCAGGAGTCATCTCATCAACTCCCCAAAGTTTTATTGTAATCGGATAAACGATGTCAGCCAGCATCCTACTTTTACTTTTATATATCGCAATGAGAGTAAAATCGTATAAACGCGGCGAATTTTGTTTTAAAGAAATCTCCCAAGGTGTATTCTCGAAAAGTTTCAAAGCTTTATGGTGATCGGATAAAGGTCTAGTAATGCATTTTGATAAACACGCACACACACACACGCACACACATACACACACATGTATATAACGTGAGGACTGTTTTACACATATAAAAGTAATTTCTTATTAAAGTAAAAGATCTAAGTCTCTGCCTTCTGTCACATTTTGAGTAATTTCCGTAGAATGGAAGTAGTACATTACGCAATATCTGATTTCTCAAAAAAAGCATGTGAATTTATGAAGTACTAGCCGTCCCGGCCATGCCCTGCGCTAGCCTCTGTGATAAACCTATCTGTAAAGAACCAATACTTGTGTGTTTAGTAATAAGCACGTACCCGGCATTAACCACCCTAACGACAATCAACAAAAACCAAAATAGGCAACATAACACAAACGCAAACATGAATACAAACACGAACACAAACACAAACAAAAACACAATGGCAAAAAAAACAAAAACCACAAACGCAAATCCCAACCAAACACAACGCAAACACAAACGGTAACATAAACGCAAAGTGCTCATCGTCAAGCTTGGGGCGCAAAATCGCACCATGCTGGTGTTTAAGAGATATATTACTTTTCGAATTTAACCATAGCCCAAAACCTTCTCGAGTTCAAACATACGGGCAGATGTGTTTCATTAGCTGAGGAAAATAACTTCTGGAAACTTCTGGAAACGTAAATAACTTCTGACAGAGAATGGTCAAATCGTGTAGGATTATATTTTTTCACTGTATAGAATAATAATTTTTTTTTACTCTAGAGCCAAAGATATGCAATATGGTATTTGAACGAGTGATGTTTGCCTTTACTTCGACAGCGATTTATGTAGAACTAAACGCTTTAAAACTAGAATTGTTATACATTGACAATAGTTTTATGGAAATTAACATGGTCGGTATACACTTTTGCACATTTTTTCCTTTACCAAAAGTACTATTTGGACACCTTTGCGGGAAATTAGTTTTGAAGTTTGTCTAGGAGAGACAACTGCAAAATGATACAACGGATGCCTTGTAGTTTGCTTTTGGTTGGGCGAAGGCTATGCAAGCAAATCCATAGGAAAATCAGGTTGAAATCTGAGTCAACAGCCTGTATGGATCATAAAAGCTTGGCAACACTTAATACGTTATACTTAATTGTGTTCGAGAAAATCCCTTATAATATTAAAAATTAAGAACAAAGAAGAAAATAGACTTACTAGAATTAATCCTCTTTACTGTATCTCCGAATGACTCGTCTCAAATGACGTTTTAGTTTTGAAGATTTCATGGTTTCGTGACTGAGAACAACTTTGTACAGTGCGCTTTGTTTCTTCTCTATTACATTTCCAATGATGTTAATGAAGCCGAATTTCAAAAATTCTTCTAAATATTTATGTTTTGTTTCAAATTACTAAGGTTTAGTATACCAGTTGGCGATCCCCCAGAAAGACCTTCGCGACCCCCAGGTTGGGAACCAGTGACGTAATATATATATATATATATATATATATATATATATATATATATATATATATATATATATATATATATATATATATATATATATATATATTTGTATATTATTATTTATATGTAAGAAAACATTAAAGGAAACAAATACAACTCAAATACAAAAGAAAACAAAAAAACAAACGCAAAAACAAACACAAAAACAATGCAAACACAAACGTAAATGCAAACGCAAAAACCACAGACGTAAGCGCAAACGCAAACACAAAAGAAAACACAAACTCAAACACAACGCAAAAGCAAACACAAACACAATGTAAACACTAACACAAATGCAAACGCAAACGCAAAATAAAAATTAAAAAACACAAACGCAACACTTAACACGCAAACACAAACAGAAACGTAAACGCAAACCTAACAAACAATGACATAGAGCATAAACACAACTGAAAATGCAAACATAAATGTTAGTACTCCCAGTGCAGCCTGTGCCGCTAAATCACAACCTTCAGGGGCGCCAGTGATTCAACACAGGAAACTGCTACAATACCCCAACCTAACCATAGCTATTGCATTATTCCCACGAACGTAGGCGCCGTATCGCTCACGGGGAGTCCCAGGGCGCCAAATAGCATTATAGGCTTTCTTCTTCTGGAT